GTGAAAATGATGTAGTAATTATTTTAAAGGAAATGAAACTAGAATTTAAAATAAGAAATTTCTTCAAAGAATAAATGTTTCAAGTTTTATTAGCATAATTTGCCTGAGTATTAAATTGATACCTGGGTTTAAAATGCTAGGCTTTGCTCTTTTCAAAGTAGTGTCAAAAAGCTCGAGACTTTATTTCTCTTTGTACTAATAATAGCAATAATAAAAGACTATAAAGGTCCTATAGGAGAAAGTACAGGTAGGATTCTCTAGATAGAAAAATCCTGATTTGAAATAAAACATTTATGGTTAATTATAGTGAAGCAGATTTGAAATATGGAGTATATAGGATCTATATTTTATATAATATAAAATATGACTTTTATAGATTGGACGGTACAAAGCACCTTTTCATCAGCTAAGAATATCATATGGTACTAACAAAGGAAAAAACTACACTGAAGAAGAGGATCGTTTTCTTATTTGTATGCTTCATAAGCTTGGATTTGACAAGGAAAATGTTTATGATGAATTGCGACAGTGTATTCGCAATTCCCCTCAGTTCAGATTTGATTGGTTTCTTAAGTCCAGAACTGCAATGGTGAGTATCTCTGTTTTTTTTTTTTTATGTAATGCAGGAGAGTTTAGAATGAGTATACTTAATATTTTTTAGCTTGAATCTTTGAAGTAGATTTTTGTTTAGTTTCAGAGATTAGTTTCCACATCCACAGCTTGCAAACTTGATAGGTAATTTAAAAAGCTTAATGGCTCTAGCCTCTAATGTCATCACTGCTTTATACATTTGTACTAGGACTAGTTTCTGCTATTTTAATCAGGTTTTTAGTGGGAAGAAATATTACCATCGGTTTTAATTTTAAACATGATGAATTTTGGATTTGAAGGTTGACAGACTTCAAAAATGCTGTTCAGGCATCTGTACATCAGAAAGCTGGATCTGGGTTCTTTTAAAATGACTGAATGGCATAGAGCAATATTCTTTATATTGATTTAGAGATAGATTTTGTTTGTAGCTACAGCACAGGGGCTGTAGTGATGGCAGATGGATTTTTCCTTCAGTGTTGTCCACTGCTACATTAACCTTTGTGGAGACAAGATTGCTAGAGAGAGCAGGAAGACTCATCATAGACTTCCATGGATACTTTTCCAAAACTGGAAAAGGTAGTTTGTGGCACGTTACTACCATAAATTGAGATGATAATGAATTCTTAGGGGAAAGATGATGCTCATCCTTTTTAAGTTCTAATTTTATTCTAGAATTCTGTCCGTTATTAAACTTTCGAGTATAAATAGTTCAGGGTTCATAGACACAATTACTGCATGTCCTATAAGATGTTCATTTTCAGTGCTTTAATTCCTAAATGAAGAAAAGATTAGTGAAGACTATGTGCCAGTATGGCTTTTTTCCTTTCCTGGAGCTTGCACACACAAGTCAAGCACACTACCACCGAGCTATATATCCCCAGCCATACATTCATGTAGCTTTAAAGAGTAAAGTAAAAGCAGTCAGTACTTTCTTTTTTGTATCCTTATAGCATGGACTGTAAATAAAAATGAAGTTCCTTTTGCTTGTTTTTTGTTAGTCTTTTGGGTCTATATGAGTGATTTTTTAAAATTTTATTTCCTTGTTAAAACCTACCTTTATTTAGATACTGAAATTCTGACAATATTTAGATGGAAATAACAAGTTTACCATGTAAATTTATAATGCAGGAGCTCCAGAGAAGGTGTAATACCTTAATTACTTTGATTGAAAGAGAAAATATGGAGCTAGAAGAAAAGGAGAAGGCAGAGAAAAAGAAACGAGGACCAAAGCCTTCAGTAAGTATTCATTATTATGTAAAAATGTGTAGATGATGTAAATTACATAGTTTATGTGCGAGTGCATGTGTGTGTGTGGGGGGTGTGGCCAGAGGTTGACATCATGTTTCTTCCTCAATTGTTCTTCACCTTATTTTTTTTAAATAGATTTAGGATCTTTTTGAGTCTTGATCTCAATATGTTGGCTATAGCTATTCCTACCACCACCACTGTGTCTGTTGCTTGGGTTACCTGGCTTTCATGTGGGTTCTTGGGAATCTGAATTTATGTTCTCATGCTTTTGTGACAGTTTACCCATCGAGCCATTTCTCCAGTCCTCCTTTTTTGCCCCCCTTTTAAAGTATTTAAAGTATTTCAATTTGATAGGGAAAATCATGCTGTCTCGGGGGCTTGTGAAAGTATGTCTTCTGAATACCAAGAGTATTCATTTGTTTTTGAGAGTTCCTGAAATTTTAAGAGAATTTAAGGAATATTAGAAAAATTATGATTTTACAGCCTTTGCAGTTGTCTTCTAAGCTTTGATTTATTGTCTCAGTAATGTTTTGGCAATGCAAATGTGAGTATTTCAAGAGGTAAAAGGTGTCTTGTTATTTAGTAATAGTAAAGTTATTTGGAGATTTGTTATATATCCCTGGAGATTTGTACTTGCTGCATCATACATCAGATATTATTGCAGTGTTACAATGTGTCTGTGGATATATTTAATGTTCATATTAATTTTCTCATGAGAAGTAATCCTTGTGTTTGTTTATAGACACAGAAACGTAAAATGGATGGTGCACCTGATGGTCGAGGAAGAAAAAAGAAGCTGAAACTATGAATATTTGTTTTATAATCACTAAACTAGTAGTTCTTTAATTTACGGGTCTTCATAAGATGTACTGTACAATGCTCAATTGTTATGTCATTCAAAGACATCAGGTCCATCTGTTTACTGAGCTAGAAGCATAGTATGTAGTTTCACTTTTTTAAATGCAACAGCTGTGCTGAAATTTTTTTTATCATTAACACTTGAAGTAATAAAATAGGCTTCATTTATTAATAAATGTTTCATTTGGTTTATTTTTCTATTAGTTTCTTTTGTGAATATTGTGACTTTTTATCAGCTATGACTTTCACACTTGTATGGCTTAAAAACAAAGCAAACAAGTAAAAAAAAGTTGGAAATAACATTTGTCCCTTCAAGTCTCCACTTAGTTGTGTAATTACTTCACATTCTTTGCCTTTCCAGAAATTTTGGATATTTTTTTGTAGTACTATTGAGTCTCATCTGGAAAGATTATGTAAATTGCATTCTTCCTGCTTATTATAGAATGGGAGAATAGGCAGAACAAATTACAATGAATTTCTATGCATATTTCTGTTAAGCTTTCTCTTTCTATAGTTGGTTCTGAAGTGAACACGACCTATTCTGTTGGATGAATGGCCTTCTTTAGTTGTATAGCCAAAGACACTTAGTGTTTTCTGGTTCCTTAAGGTGTTGTATCATTTTGTAAAAGGAATATTATTTTTTTTAAGTACTTGGTAAATATTTTGAAAAATGACTTGCAGCAGCCACAACTTAGATAATGTCAAAAGTAAGGTGATTTTTTTTTTTTAATTTTGAAAGACCCAGCCAAAATGAGGTGTGAATTTGTCATACTGTACAATGCTAATAGAATGTACCCTCCCAGTTTATAGTATTTTTGAGTTTTTAGACTAAATGAAAATTTTATTTTATATATTTTAAAATAACTTCTAAGTCCTAGTAGCAAGAAGGAGTATAATTCCAGTTTTTATTTTCTATGGAATGGACTTGATAAACTGGAGACCCTGAAGCGCAGGAATACCCAAATTGTAGTGTCAGGATTTTAGATGTACCAGAGGCCTTTATGTGCTACACATAATTTGTATAAAGTTTTATATGTGCAAATGGGTACATAAGCCGTTCTCCATTTTTCTAAGGGAATGCAATAAATGTAGCATCGTGAATAAATATAACTTTTATAATCCTTAAAGTGGTCTTTTTCCATTTTTTAAAATTTTTTATTTTTTTCCTCATTTAACTTTAACTTCCCCCTTAAACCATGGTCTCTTTCTCCTGTATTTCTTCCTCTGAAACCTGTTTTGGTTGTTTTCATCTGTACACGTGCAGATGAAAATCCTAATGTCTGTACTGTTACTGCCTGATTTTCAGTAATGTAAGGATTGCTGCTGTGAATGTCATGCTATGGTGAATTGTAGACAATTAGAATTCATTCCATGGTCTCCAAAGTTGACTTCTAAAGAATGTTAGATTCCAAAATAAGTGATGTGATCTCATTTTGGAAGACATAATTGAAAACCATGTACGGTGAAAAAAAAAAAAACAAAAAACCCAAAACTGGCGGTCACAAAAGTGATGTTTTTGATGTTTTTAAGAGGAAGAGAAATTGGCAGGAGGTGCACAGAAATGCAGGCTGGGTTGAGTGTAATGCTGGCTTTTAAGAACTTGAATATTCAAATATAAAAGAAATACAAAGAGAAATTTAAATGGAGGGAAAAATGGAAGATACTATCCAAATTGAGCATTGCAGTTTAGCCAGTGCTGGAGATTAGTTTTCCAGGGACCAATTTGGATAGCATTGTTGTATGCTCATCTAGAAGGAAGTAAAACATGTTTTATTGCTCATTAAGGGAAGGAAAAGGGTAAAGCTAAGCTTGAACTATCTGCCTTAAAAGAAGGATTGATGGTGAAGATAGAATTGGAACCCATGCTCCAAACTGATGGAATGGTTCCTGAAGCAAACCTAGAAGAGCCAATGTTGACATAGTGACTGGGAGAACTGCAGCAACTCAGCTACAATATTGACTCATAAAGACCATATACATATATATATATATATGTATCTTATCTGCTGGGAAGATCGTACTCTGCTAACAAATCAAATGCAGTATTATTTTAAAATGTTAATTTGAAATGGCATAAAGATAATGGGATAATTTCAAATAACATCCTTTTAATTGAGAGTACTTCATAATAGCTTAAAATTTTATATATATATATGTTTTTCTTGCATTATGTAAGTGCACCTATGTGTGCATACAAACCCACAGAGGCCAGAAGAATGTCAGATCTGGAACTGGAGTCACAGATGGTTGCTAGCCACCATATGGGTGCTAAATGCTAGGAACAGTACATCTTCCTTCTGTAGTTAGGAGATGTTTAGGCTGCTACTCTCCCCTCTTAAAGTATTGAGTCCAAGGAACCACAGGATGATGGTGTCACTGATGATAATGGTGGTTTTATTTGTTTCTCCAAGCACTGCACCTCTAGGCACCTGGAGAAATAATTCAAACGTCTCTGGACCCTCAAAGGCTGTTCCAAGTCATCAAGAACTGTTACCTGGAAGATCTGCAGGTGCACTCCTGGGCTGAAGTGCAGATTTCGACTGACATTAACATAGTCTGTTCCAGCTAGGGGAGGAAGGAAAAGGCACTAGTGAGACTATGGGATTCATGGTATAAGTGCTTTTTTCTTCTAGAGAAAAAGATGCCTCATCAGCCCTGCAGCATTCTGTTCTCTGTACTCAGCACTATCAGAATCATGTATTGCAGGCTGGATCTCCACGAGGCGGCAAATTTCTGTATTCTAGCAAATACCATGTAGTCCTTTCCACCAGGCCAGGCACATCACCGCCCAGTCAGCTGCACAGAGATCCCGCTCATGGAAGGCATCTTCAATTGGAAATGAAAGAATTTGTCTTTAAAATTTTAATCATAAAGTAACTGTTAGGGATTTAATTTTGACTAGCCTTCAGGCTTCTGGTATATTCTTGCAACATCCTATTCAGTTTTACTCAGACATCAGGTTTCTACCACTTCTGGGATATTAGCCATTCTTGCAAGCTGGCACACCTGATCATACAGATTCTTAGCTACTTATTAAAAAAAAAATCATCAAATATGTTAGTAACAGTGACAGTGGAATAAAAGAACCCCCAAGTGACAAATAGAGAAACAATTTGAGAAACAGAACATTTATATTACCTCAAGGTGTCTTTTCAGTAGTTTTGAAGAATTACTATGGTGGAGGAACATGGCAGATACACCTGAGCAGATGGTCAGAGTTAGCACTGCCAGCAGTGATGACAGAATCAGTGAAAACAGCATCATCCCTGTGGAATTTCTGCGAAAGATGCATCATCTGAGTCTAGTAATGAGGAAACGGGTAAATCTAAGTAGGGACATTTAGTATACTAGATAACCTAGCTCCCCATCTTCAAAAACAAGTTCGTGAAGGTCAAGAAAGGAACAAGGGAGGAGTTCTAGGGAGATGGCTCAGTCAGTAAAGTGCTTGCCACAGTAGGGGGGAGGGTGGTGAGGTGGAAGGCTAGTGAGGAAGATACCTGTCCTGTTTTCTATTATGGTGATAAAATACCCCTACAACAGCAATTTAGGCAAGAAAAGGGATTATTTTAGCTCCTAATTCAAGGTTACAGTCCATCAGTGTGTGGAAATCAGCAGCAGCAGGAACTTGAAACAGTTCCACATCCAGGGTCAAGAACAAAGAGTGAACATACATGTACTTGTGCTCAGCTTGTTTGTGCTCAGCTTGCTTTCTCCACTTACACAGTTTGGGACCCAAACCCAAGGAATGGTGCCATTCACTTTCAGGCTGATCTTTATCAGACAAGACAATCCCTAAAGACACGGTCACAGGCCGACCTGATCACGACAACCCCTCATTTCCACTCTTCCCAAGTGATTCTAGATTTAGTGTTGACAAAACTGTCACAATACTGAAAGCCAGCCTCTGGCATCTACACACTTGTGCATGCACAGTTGTGTGAGAGATCAATTTACATGGTTGGAAATTAAAGCAGCCCTGATAGTTGAGATGATTCTCAATATAAGTTGAGATGATTCTGAACTGAATTCTTGTACTGTGATTTGGGGACAATTGGTAAAACTTAAATATAATCAGGATTAAGCTACAGAAATGATTTGTTCCTGATTTGATACGTGTATTTTTTAGGAGACTTTTTGTAAGAATTATAGTCTGAGTTTTTGGAGTGATGGTTTCAAACTTAGTGATTGAGGGAAAAAAAATGTGTGTTTCATGATATTTGTTGCTTTTCTGCAAATCCGAGATTGTTTTGAAACCTTTTCCTTGGGGCTGGAGAGATGGTTCAGCAATTAAGAGCACTGGCAGCTAACAACTGTCGTAACTCCAGCTCCAGGGGGATCTTCTGACCTCTGTGGGCATGGCATGATGCCGGTGCACTTACATGCATGCAGGCAACATGCTCATACACATAAATAACATTTTTATGAAGCTGTTTTTTTGCCAGGCATGGTGGCACATGACTTTGGTCTCAGCACTTGGGAGGTAGAGGCAGGCAGATCTCTGAGATCGAAAGCCAACTTGGTCTACATAGTAAGTTTCAGGCCAGCTGGGGCTACACAGAGCCCCTGTCTCAGTTTTTTTTTCTTAAGTTTTATTTGTGTGTGTGCAGAGGCCAGAGGCATCAGATTGTGTGTGTGTCTGTCTGTCTGTCTGCAGAGGCCGGAGACATCAGATTCCCTGGAGCTGGAGTTACATGTGGTTGTGAGCCACCCAATGTGTGTGTGTGCTGGGAATGGATCTTGGGGCCTCTGGAAGAGCAGTGCGTGCTCTTAATGATTGAACTGCCTCTCCAAGACCCCTCAATCTTTTGAAAGCCATAAAGTCATGGCATTAACAGAAAACAAATGAATATTATAGTGGAAATTACCAGGTGGGAGAATAAAGGGAAAGTGCTTTGAATCTTGTGCACTTTGGTTTGCATCCTGGATCATTGATTAATTAGTTAACCATATGTTCTCAGTTTCAACTGCAGAATGCAAATAGAGCTGTTACAAGTTGTGAAGATTCGAAGTAATATAGCAAATAGCACAGTTTGGCAAGTAGTAGACACCGAGTATAGAGAAATAGTAATGCTGAGTCTAACGAATTATATAGTTTAAATGCACGTACAAAATTAATAGTACTGAGAAGGTATTTGCTAGGCTCTATAGATACTTTTGTTTGAGCCGTTATCTCTGCATCTCTCCTGCTTAAACTCATGGATCACCACCCTAAGCATCCCCACTTCTAGTCCTTCCCTGCCTGAGTGCCAACAAAGTGGCATTACTTTTATGCAAAGTAGTTTACCAAAATGAACTTGAATTTATCTTCCAAATTGTGAGCAAGAGTTCACTGAACCAATTGGTCTATTGACTTTTTCATAGATACCTAAAGAGCAAGAGATGACCATCTCTGAACATTAGAGAAAGGAGGACCAGCAAGATGGTTCAGTGGATAAACGTGCTTGCTGTATAAGCCTGGTTACTGAGTTCAATCCCTGAAATCCATGTGAAGATAGAGGGAGAGAACGCCACAAATTTGTCCTCTCACCTCCACATGTGTACTGTGGTACCTACTCCCTTACACACGCAGATATTATTTGTGTGTGCGCGTGCACACACAAATTTTGAAAAAGGAAGAAATGGACAAAACTAGTAAGAGTCATTGTTAGTTTCACATACTATATCCAGACATATTCACTGAATCATTACAACAGAGATGATGCCTTTATAAACATTGCACTGAAGAAGTGTGAATTAAACTGAAAAAAAAATGGACGATAGAAAGCAGAGTAAAAATATCACCTGTTCAGGATATATTTTAGATCTTATAAATGCACAGGAAATTTTTACAGGAAGTTTTACTCTGACACACAAGACTCTCATAGTTTGACTTGAGTCCATATTTTCCTGGAATCCTCTGAAACCATGCCCCCCATTGTACTTTCCTGTTTCCCAGTTATACCTAGGAGTTCATGCTATGCCCAGCGTAGCATGGGTTATGAGCCTCCATCTTCACTGGTTATTTTCTCCTAGTGGACTGTGCCAGTTCAGTGAATACTTAGCCTTCTTTAAAACTTTGGTGAAACATTGTTCAGAACTGGGAATTAAGAGTTACAGCTCCATGGAGCTTTATTTCTCTCAAAAAATGGTCCATTCTGTAAACCATGCTTCCATAAAACTGTCCAGTTGTATGACTGTGGGCCCTGGTTACTGCAGACGGATGGAAAGGGTAGGTTGCATGCAGAGAAGGGTGCTGGGTGAGGTTCAGCCTCTTTGTGTGTCTCTCTACTTCCCTGTTATTGCTGCTGGATGTTTCTGAGCTTCCAAAGCTGGGGCAGGGGAAGGAAGAATAGGGAAGAAAGTTATTTTTATCTTTAACTCCGGTTCCAGGGGACTCCAGTGCCTCCTTCTGACCTCCACAGGCATTGCATGACATGGGTGCACTTAAACACATGCAGGCAATACACTTATAAAAATAACAAAACAATTTTAAAAGGCTGGATGAATTGCAGAGATCTTAGTCTATTTACAAAGTTTTTTGCTCATAGAAATGTAGTTGTCTAATTAGAAAAATACTTTTTAAAAACTATTATTTTTATGTGTATGCATGTATTGCTTGCATGTAGGTAAGTGCACCTATGTCATGCAATGCCTGTGGAGATCAGAAGAGGCTGTTGGATCCCGTGGGACTGGAGTTATGGACAGTTGTTAGTTACCATGTGGGTGCTAAGATTCGAACCCAGGTCTTCTGTAAGAACAACCAGTGTTCTTAACTGCTGAGCCATCTCTCCAGCCCCAGGAAAGACTTTTAATAGTCTTATAGTGACATTTCTCAGCATATAAATATCAAATTAGTACACTTTGGGTTGTATTGTTTGTTTGATTTTAAAAATTAATGTTTGAGCCAGGTGTGGTGGCACACGCTTTTAATCCCAGCACTTGGGAGGCAGAGGCAGGCAGATCTCTATGTGTTCAAGGTCAGCCTGGTCTACATAGTGAGTTTCAGGCCAGCTGGGGCTACAGTTCCGGAAACCCTGTCTCAAAAAGACCAAAAAAATTAATGTTTGACTTTCTGAATTGAGTTTTCATAAAACCTTGTTTAGTTATTTTTTGCTTGAGATTAGGGCAGAATTTCCAATAATTTCTGAAATGGTCCTAAACATACTTCTGCCATTTTGTGCTGTGTACTTATGATAAATGGTGTTCTCAGCATTGAAAACTACAAAATAAAAATACTGATCAAGTTTTTTGCTCATAGAAATGTAGTTGTCTAATTAGAAAAATACTTTTTAAAAACTATATATTATTTTTATGTGTATGCATGTATTGCTTGCATGTAGGTAAGTGCACCCATGTCATGCAATGCCTGTGGAGATCAGAAGAGGCTGTTGGATCCCGTCCAAAGATTTTAAACACCCAAGTTCATCTAATTAGTGTGCAAATTTCCTTTCATCTTCAGTAAATGGTAAGAGTGTATGTATATGAAAGTATTGTTTTAAAATAAACTTCCTGATGTCCTCTCCTCTGTCAATATTTCATTTGTCCTATTTTGTATAACATACCCAAGGACATATGAATTTTCCTTG